GGTGATAAAAACGAATCAGTTGGCATCAATGATAATTGTGACAGTAAAGTAATTGAAAGTATAATTTTTTTATATGTTGATCATCAGGAAGGGCTTCCGATTGTAAAAAAAATGCTTTAACTCTTTCATAGTGGTATTTATATGTCACTATGGAAAACTATCCAAACCACACAAACATGGATATAAAATTTAAACCTTTTCTAATACATTTTTTTTAACATTTAGGATGAGGTTATTTGGAAAGTGGGACAAAAGTTTACAAGTATTGAATTGGTAGAGGCTTGTAAAACTAATTATGAGTTAAAACGACTTTGTCAACTTGTGAAGAGTAAAGTAAGATCTTTAGAAGCTGCTAAAAAGAGAATTCCTAAACGAATTGCTTTAGCTAATATGGCATTGCACTACCAAACTTTACAGTTTGTTTGCAAGTTTAGTGGAAAGTCGAGTCAGCCAGAATTAGAAAGAAAGAGAAAAACTAAATCCTTCCGTTGTGGTTGTCCATTTGAAATTGTGCTGGAACTTTCAGTTGACAATCAGCACCTACAAGTGGTGCGTGTACAAGAATGAAAAAAATGATTCATCTTTTAATTTTGAAAAAAGTGACGAAATTGGAAACTATAACATAAAACATTCTAAGTTTTTGATTGCGTCAAAAGAGTTTTGCAATTGCAGATTCATGTCTAAAATGGAATTACCATGTTACCATTTATTCCAACTGCGCAAGTTTTTGATGCTACCTATGTTTGATGTACAGTTAGTAAATCGAAGATGGACTAAGGAATATTATAATCAATCTCTTCGAGCAAGAAACGATACCAGTATAACTTTTGGAAAACGAGGGTGGTATGGTAATTTTCAAAAAAAGACAAGCGCAACTGGAGGTTATATTACAACAATGGCAAAAAGGAGAAGAAGTGACGCTGGTGACAAATGATAATATTATAGAAGTTGATAACGTTGACTTGATGGAATTTGATTGTCACGTCACTAAAACAGGCATTGAGAAGATCAAATCAAGCCCTATCAGTACAAATAAACATATTGATTCTATTGAGACTTTCCCCCTTCTTTCTGAAAAGGATGTTCCTCAAAATCCCGCAAAGTTAGATCTCAAAGAAGTATTAATGCCGCCAAAAATGAAAAACAAAGGCCGGCCGAAAGGGGCTAATACAACAGTTATTGGTGTCCCTAAAAAAAAGAATTATCTGAAACCAATACCATACATTAAGCTATTACCTAAAGATAAAGACAGATTTATTTTAACCCGCATAGTACAGGTTCCAGCTGTTGAATTAGCATTGAGTGGGGGGAAACTAATTTGTTCGTCAGACATCAAAAAATCAGTTTTTTTGCCAGATTCTCTTCGTGGTGAGAAATCTTTGGATATAGAGAGGGTAGAAATGTTTTTTAAACCTGCAGCGTGGAAAGTTCTCAAATCTGCAATTATTAGCAAAAAAAAGCAACAATGGATTTGTTCGATTTGTAGGAACATATTAAAAGATGAAGAAGATAGTATTAGTTGCGATTGCTGCTTGTTGTGGAGTCATTTAAAATGCTCTACGCTGCGAAAAACACCTAAAACAAAATATTGGTTTTGTAATAGTTGTAGGTTAGAATCAACATGTTGATGGGGAATAATTTAATACTTAACAATATTACCCGCCCTTTACTTTTGCATGTTTTGTCAACCTGATACTTTTTATATACAAAGAAGATCAAAGTTACGACCAATTAAAAAATGTTAAAGTTACTATCTGTAAAAGCTTTACCTAAAGGTAAAAGTTACTGCCTGGTGTGTAGTTTTTCATATTCTTTAAACCCGGCACTTTTTACATAAAGGTAAAATTTACTGCCTGGTTTAGAGTTTTTCATATTTTATAAACCCGGCACTTTTTACATAAGAAAAAGCAAAGGTAAAAGTTACTGTCTGGTGTATAGTTTTTCATATTCTTTAAACCCGGCACTTTTTACATAAAGGTAAAATTTATTGCCTGGTTTATAGTTTTTCATATTTTTTAAACCCGGCACTTTTTACATAAAGGTAAAAGTTACTGCCTGATGTGTAGTTTTACATATTTTATAAACCCGGCACTTTTTACGTAAGAAAAAGCAAAGGTTACTGTCTGGTGTATAGTTTTTCATAGTTTTTAAACCCGGCACTTTTTATATAAATGTGAAAGTTACTGCCTGGTGTGTAGTTTTTCATATTTTATAAACCCGGCACTTTTTACTTAAGAAGATATATTAGTTTACTCGGTGCCGGGCATGTAGTTTTCGACATTTATAACTGCCCGGCATTTTTTCTAATAAAAAGTAACGCATGCGTACTTGAACTGCCGGGCATGTATGTTTTACGTTTTTACTACCCGGCTGCCGGGCATGCAGACGCGGCGATTTTTTAAATGAATTTACAAAGTTCAACATAATTGTTAAACATATGTTCCAGAAACTATTAAACATGTAGTAAATGTTCCATTGAGACACTGTTTGCATTTTTAAAATGATCAAAATATAAAGTTTTGTTTCTGCTAGTCATTAGCAGAAACAAACTTTATATTTTGATCATTTTAAAAATGCAAACAGTGCAAACTAGCAGCTAGTGATATAATTAGATAATAAATGGTTTGAGTTTAATCAAAATATTAGTTAAGTCAGAAACATTTAAAAAGAGCAAACAGACGAATAGAATGTAATGAATAGGTTATATTTAGGGAATTAAAAGTTTTTTAATCGTTTTTACAGATCCACTCTTTTCCATTAATTTTTCTATATTTTATGCAAGCAAAATGACTGATGTTAACGAAGTTTACCCACCGTCAGATATTAATAAAGATATAATTAGATGTATAAATGCAAAAATATGGTTTTATTGTTATGCATCAACCTCATTTTTTATTCATTGATATTTTTTGATTTTGATTTAAAATTGTACACTTGCAATATAAACAATAATTTCTTAATATACATAATAATAACTTATACTTACAATACCTATATTTGTAAATACTTGTAATATAATAATTATGTTTATAATACTGATAAAAATTTTTATTGATATAAACTTTTGCATTCAAACTTTAGTTATAAAACTTTAATTTAACTTAATAACTTTTACATAAATAACAATAACTAAAAAAAGATGTTAGTTTTTATATAGATTATAGCCATATGCTTATTTATTATAATTGAGTTACAGTAAGTTAAACAATATAAAATGTTAAGTTCCAGGCAATAGGTCTTATATGATATGTATCTTATGTATATCTTGTATTTTGCAGCATGTTAAAGAATATTTCTGCATGGTGCACTCTGATTGTTGACAATATTTGCATATTGATATGAGTAAAAGTGACTTCAACAACCAGAATGTGTTTTTGATAAATAATTATAATAACAGGTTAGTAAATATAATTATAGTAATAATGGCAATAACTTTTTATTATTAGAATTAGTGAGAGACTTATGTATAATAGAGCTACATTAACTTTGGGGGACAAATATAATAACTTGAGTAAATATTACCGTTGTTTATAACCTCGATTAGAGTAATGTAAGTAAATATTATTTTTATCTAAAGAATATTCGGCAAAAGTCAGTATTTCCTAAGTATTAAATATTATAAAAAAACATGTTTAAAAAAAAAATTTTTAATGTATCATAAAATAAAAAAATTAGTATTTGAGTATAAAAAAAAACACATTATTATAATGTATATACATCACATTAACTATGTTGTCTATAAAGTAGGGGTTGCAGCTGAAGCTGATCAAGTCAGTTTAATCATCTTGATAGCTGATAGTAAAAGAGAATAATACTCCATAAATATTTTATATAAAATATATTTTTATATAGGAATTTATTCAATGAAAATCTAAAATAGTGACAAAATTTAAACATACATGTAAATTTTAAATAAAATTTGCCAAAAGTTGTTGCTGTTTATAAATGTTGCCATCAGAGCCTAGGCCTAAGACTTGCAATATTAGGGGACCCAAATTATGTTTTTATAAAATTTGTTTATAAAGTGGTGCCCAAAAATCTAATTCCATTTTTAATTATCTTAAGGGGACCAACTATCTTTTGTTCAAAAAGAGTACACTTTGCAAGTATTTCATAGGTAAAAAAAAAAAAGGAAGATAAAACGATAAAAATCTTTATTTTTTTTTAAATCATATTTTTCGTCAGAGTGGATTTTTTTTGCTAGATGAGGATGTTCGTCTAATAATGAAGCTGCATCCGAACATATTAAATTTCATATTAAATTTGACTGTTAAGATGACATATAATGTTTTTACAGAAAGTTGCAACTTCTCACTGCTCCAATAATCATTCCTTAGTGAAAATACCTTTTCAACAGCAGCATTAGTGCCTGGACAACATAAAGAAATTTCTGTTAAAACTTTTAAATTTTCATGTGGGATATGTTCTACTCTAAAATGCCGAAAGATTTCTACCCATCTTTTTTCAAGTTCTATTTACTCATTGTTCCATTTCTTCAATTTTTATTCATTTAAAAATGAATTTACTCTTCCAGTTTCTTCAAAAAAAAAAATTGTCATTAATAACAATATCTTTTACTTCCTTTATTACAAATTCGACTGCTGAAGAAACTTTTTTTCATTAAATTTTACTATTTATAAGGGTCCATTTAAAACAATTCAATGCTCTAAAGTTCATTATCCATTCTTCGATATATTCATTGCAAATTTTATAAAAAATTTTTAACTTCTTTTAAATTTTTTTTTTTTTTTTTCCGGGATTGGAATCTTCCAAAGCAGTCAGTTTATAGGCTTTAATATAGCCTTTAATATTGTATATAGTAGTGTATGTATATATTTTTTTATTTAAATTTGTCTTTAATTTATTTATTTATATTTTTCTGCAAAAAATTTTTTCTGTCACTTTATCCTTCTGAACTTATGTGATGAAGTTTTTGTTTTCTCTTACATATTTTCTCACTCATCTTATCTCATCTGTTCATTTTCTCTTTTTTTTTTCATTTTTCTTAGCGTTACTTTTTTATATTTATGTGTTAATTCCAACTTTTTAAATAGTATTGTTCCTTATACTTCTTTTTTTATTACTTGTATTAATGTAGTTTTCTTTCTTTCTTATTATTTTTATTCATTATTTTATTTTATTTGTTTATTTTATGAAGGTGTCGCTCCATTGACTTGTTTTTAATATGAGTGACACCAAACATAAATTTGTAAATTATAATTAAGTTTGTAATTTTTGATTTTATGGTTAATTAACCATAAGTGCATGCGTAGTATGTACGGTAAGGTTTTTGTTATCCTTTTATTTAATTAAATAAATGGATAAAAAACTTTGCTGTACATACTACGCATGCCTCAAGACTGTCAAGCTGATCTTTGATGTGCGTATATACTGCACATCAAAGATCAGCCTGGGGATTACATATGCAAATGTTGGATCCATCTCTTTTCACAAATGTAATTTTGACATTAGAAAAAGAGGTCTGTAGTATCTATTTATCTCTCCAGGTTCATAATACGGCCTCTCAATTGTGTTAAAAATGGCAGCCATATGTGCGTTCAAAATTTAAATCACTGTCAAACTTGTATCTGGTGTTTGCCCTGTCCTCTGATGTGCTGGAAACGGCTAGCAATATGTGCGCATGAAATTCAAATCACTGTCAAAATAATTTTAAATATTTAATTTATAAAATTGAAATGAAATAATATTTAAAAAAATGTTTTAGAAATACAAATGAGTACAAAATTATACAAATGAGTACTTTCAGAGTACAGGATTTACAGTAAGTTAAACAATATAAAATGTTAATGAGAATAGCAGGTCACCTTAATTGTCTACATAATTTTTTGGTAGATTTCAAAGTGTTGGTTTTATCTATGGTTTTATCTATGAAAATATTGAGTTTAAAATCAATCTTGCTGTTTTCATACGTGATGCGCCAGCTAGAGCATTTGTAAAGTGTATTAAAGGACACAATGGTTATAACTGATGTGAATGTTGTGCTTAGAAAGGAGAGTGGTGTGGCAAGATAATTCTCCTACATATTTCACTAATTTTAACCACTGATTCAGATTTTTTGTCATTAAAAGCATTCTGAACATCTTAGTGGTGTGTTAAATTGAATTAAATTTTGACATGGTGACAAAGTTTCCTTTAGACTTAATGCATCTAGTATGCTTAGGGGTAATGCAAAGATTTCTCAACTTATGGTTAAATTACCCTAATGTTGTAAGTTGTCTCAGATTACAGTCAATACTTTCCGGTGGATTGTTCCAGATACGTCATTACATTCCAAGAAATTTTTATAGAAAATCAAGGTATTAATTAGATATTAAATATTGGAAAACAACTGAGCATAGACTATTTATAGTAAACACTGGACCAGTTGTTTAAAGGGAATGGTTTAGCCAAAAATGTATTCAATTTTTTAGATTTTTCAGTTTTAGTTCTACTTTCATGTTTCATTTTGTTGAAAAAATATGTTAATTTTGCTTTTCAGCTACTTATCTTTATATGTGAACTTTATCATAAGGATTAACTAGTGTACAATGTCCATTCATTAGCACATATAGGAAATAATACAGTTGAATTTTAGGTACTTGATAGATGTCCCTCTTTCAAATACAAAACTTTTTCAGGTCAATTAAAAAATTTTTGTCTAGGGGTCTCATTTGCAAATTTAGGGGCCCTTTTACAAATGTAAGGATTTTTTTTTTAGGACTTTTATTCAGATTTTGTTTATCTATTGGAAAAGTTTTTAGGAATTTTGGGGCCCTTATGACAGGTTTTTTTTTGGAATTGGGGACTTGTATCTAGTAGCCACGGCACTGTATATAAGGTATATAGAATATATATCAAATTATATACAATATAAATAAAAAAATATATTTATTTAATAATTTTATATAATTTATTTATCAGTAACTAAAGGAATGTTATCAATTTATTATATGAATCATAAGCATGTGCTTATCTATTACAAGTACCTTTGATGGTGAAAATTACATTTTTTATCTGAAGAGAGTTAGGAGAAATGGTAAGAGTTTTATAACATATTAAAATTAATGTATGTGTTACCAACAAAATTTAAAACTAACAGTTAAACTTAATTTTTTACAGTTCATATTGAAACGAGATATTGTGTAAAGAGGTTTTCAAAGAAGTCGTTTTAACAACAATGGAAAAGCTTCCGATTCCCGAGATAAACGTGAAAGCGTTTGATACATGATTAAAGAATCGTTCAAAAGTTTGCTTAATTTTGACAGTGTAATTTTAAATACTATTTTTTTTGAAATAAACCATTCAATTTATATATAAATTTGCTTTTTCTGTAATTTTTAAACATTTAAAAGTAGTTTTGCAAGATTTGCAATGGTTAAACCTCGTGAGACCCTCACGGGATACCCGGCGGGCATACCCATATGGGCCCCAGAAGTGAACCGCGGCCATGATCCGGCGGATTCCCGATGGGTTTCCCATATGGGTCCCACTTGCAAACCC